AAGCCGTTCAACCCGCTGCTGGGCGAGACGTTCGAATACATGCGCCCGGACAAAAAGTACCGCTACTACTCGGAGCAGGTGTCGCACCACCCGCCCATCTCGGCGTGCTTTGCGCAGTCGCCCACCTGGGAGTACATGGGCTGCGTCGATGCCAAGTCCAAGTTCCTCGGACGCACGTTTGAGATCCGCCCGACGGGCGTGGCGCACGTGAACCTCAAGGTGCCCAAGAAGTGGGTGCGCTCGGACAAGGAGCTCAAGCCGGCGCAGATGCTGCAGGACCACGTGCTGGAGCACTACACCTGGAACAAGGTCACCACCTCGGTGTCGGGCTTTATCGTGGGCAGTCCGACGATCGACCACTTTGGCGACATGGAGGTCACCAACCACGCCACGGGCGACCGGTGCGTGCTGACGTTCAAGCCGCGCGGCTGGCGCGGCAAGGATGCGTTTGAGATCCGCGGCAGCGTGTACGATGCGCAGGGCAAGCTGTGCTGGGACATTGCAGGCCGCTGGAACTCGCAGCTGGTAGCGCGCAAGGTGGGTGCCGGCTCGGGCGATCTGAATCCGGACCAGAGCGTCGAGGCGCCCGACGGCCAGATTGCGGTGGCGCAGCCGCTGGCCGAGTATCTGCTGCTGTGGCGCAACTCGGACAAGCCGCCGACGCCGTTCAACCTGACGCCGTTTGCCATCACGCTCAACTCGTGCCCGGACGACCTCAGGCCGTGGCTGGCGCCCACCGACTGCAGGCTGCGCCCCGATCTGAGTGCGTTCGAGAGCGGCAAGTTTGACCAGGCCAACGACCTCAAGCAGAAGCTCGAGAACCACCAGCGCGAGACCAGGCGCAAGCGGGAGCAGGGCGAGCTGCCGCCACACGAGCCGAGGTGGTTCAAGCGCACCACGGACCAGGATACCAAGGAGACGCTGTGGCAGCCAGTACCTGCGCCGCCCAACTCGGGTCCTGGCGGCAAGGAGACCACCTCTTACTGGGCCGAGAGGCACCACGTCGGTTCCAAGAAGAAGGAGGGCCAGCAGGCGGACTGGAACAACGTCTACCACATCTTTGGTGACTTTGAGGTGCGTTGAGGTGGCGCTTGTTGGCGCTGCAGGTCGCACAGCCGGGTTTGTTTAATCTTAGATCGTGTTTTCCGACACTTGTGGGCTCGTGTGCTGTGTGCTATGAGTGGATTGGGGATGTGAGGTGCACGTGGGCCACAGCATGGCATGCGGATGTTAGGGCAGGAGCTTCTTTTGTTTTCTGCATGTTCCGGAGCATCCGAGATGGGAAGCGTAGATTAGATTTGACGCGCTGATTCGCGGAGGTCCGGGAAGAAAGTTGCACTTTTTTGGGCGGGTTGGAGTCACACACGACAGCGGTGCATTTTTGCTGTCTCACCACCATCTCCTCTTGCTTTGTAGATCGTATTGGTCATGACGAGTGTCAACACGGCGCCGGTACCGCTGCCTAGCGTAGGCAAGCAGCTTATCGTGTTTGATTTCGACTGGTATGTCACCACCCCGCCTACCCCACAGCTACTCTTTTGTGGATTGAATGCTGACTGGATCTGTTTTGTGCAACAAGGTCGTTGGTCGATCAGGATACGGATCGATGGGTGCACGAGGTGCTTTGTCCCGAGCTGCGTGCCGAGTTGCAGCGACGCAAGAAGGGCGAGCAGTTTACGGATCTGTGTGCGGACCTGCTGCTCAAGCTGCATGCGCGCGGCGTGACGCCCGACGAGCTGCGCGATGCACTGCGTCTGTTGCCCTTCCACCCGGGTGTCAAGCGCGCCATCTCGACCCTCAAGCAGACCGCCCAGCCCAATACGACGCTCTTCCTGCTGAGCAACAGCAACACGGTCTACATCAACACCATCCTCGCCCACCACAACCTCGAGGGCCTCTTTGACGAGATCGTCACCAACCCTGCCCACTTCACGCCCGAGGGTGCGCTCAAGCTCGAGCGACGCATTGCACCGTCGGCGGTGCAGCACACTTGCAGCGTCGGGTGTTCGGCCAACATGTGCAAGGGCGACGAGTTGGAAGCGTTCCTCGAGCGCCATGGTGGACGCGACGCCTTTGACCGCATCATCTACGTCGGTGATGGCGGCAACGACTACTGCCCCGTCAAGAGGCTGCGCACGAGCGACCTGGCGTTTGTGCGCAAGTTCCGCGGCCTCCAGACGCGTATCGCGCGCGAGGCCGGCGTCAAGGCAGGCATCAAGTACTGGAACGGCGCATGGGAACTCGAGGGCTATCTCAACGAAGCGCGTGGCGTCCCTGCGCTCGACTACTAGAAAACCTCCCCAAGACGCAGTGTTGATAGACCGATTGTTCAACGTGCAGAGTGCGACTGTGCTTACAGAGTGTACGTGAGGATACAAGCTACAAGTGCTGCTGGGATCCAGTGCGGAGTGGTGCATGCGGCTGCATTCGTCTGTGGGTTGGCCGGATTGCTCGGCACGGGTATCGGCGAACTGCTCGCCACCACGGGTAAGCTAGCTGCGGTCCCGGCCTCGACAGTCGGCAGGATCGGGCTGTATGTCCGGCTTGCACCCACGCGTGTGGGAACCACGCCCGCACTCGGCGTGGCTGTCGCATTGCCAAAAAAGTACGGCTGCCTGCTGGGCATGCTCAAACTCACAAGCGAGTTGGGCAGCACACTGTTGATCTTGGTGCCCTGTGCACTGACCCAGCTGAGCACGCTCTGTGTCGGCTCGGGCTGAAACACCTGTGCTTCCTCGGTTGCGTCGGCCGGCTGCCTCAACGGGAAGAAGCCGATCTTCGGCGGTTCGACGTCGTTGATGCCGATCGCAAACAGTGCGTATGTCGCACGCAGGAACGGCGTTCCCAGTATCCAGTCCACCCCCGTTGCGTCCGGTGGTGATGCTGCCGGCCATGCAAAACACAGGTACGGCTGCAAAGTGTCCGGCCCGATCAGGTAGTCTTGCGGGAGCAGCGTGATGTTGCGTCCGCCAAACGAAAAGTACATGCGCGCAGTCGTATCGCACGGCACCACGAATCGGCCTCCGCCCACATGGCGGCTGTTCGTGATGCCGGCGAAGAGCGATTCGACATCAGCCGCCGGGCCAAGGATCGCCGACGACCCCGAGTCGATCAGCGCAAGTGTCTCCCTGACCTGTGTGTACGTCGGTGTGAGCGTAGCAGGGCGGCCAGCAACGCCGGCAGCGGTGAGACGCACGACCCACTGCACATAAGACCCGAGAGCAGGGGCGTCGACATTGAGCGTAGCATTGGCGGGCAGAGAAGTGTCGCCCGAGGGGAAGGGCACCACGTCGTGCCACTGCACCAGGCTGCGATCTTGTGCCGTGGGAAGAACAATAGGATCGGCTGCACCAAATGTCGCTCTGCCACCCGTGGGCGTGAGGTACAACCCGAACATCGGATACGACACGTTCGTGCGCAACAGCGACGTTGCCAGCGGCAGCGTACTGACATCCCCTATCTGGTCTTGGTACCCAACGAGGCTGCGGGCGATAGTGCTTCCGCGCGGAAATCCCAGCCCCAGCACACCCGATATCCCCTGCGCACCGAGCGTGACGTTGGTCTCGTCGATCAGTGCAAACGCCTGGCGCTCGACATGCAAACCTGCCATTCGCACCTCGTCGGCGCCCAGCACCCCCTTGGCGGCCGTGTCGTCATCGTAGAAGATCGAGAACGCCACGTCCGTGTCTGCGCGCTTGCTGATCGTGCTGCTGTTTGTCGAGGTCTGCGTTGCGTTGTCGCCAAAGCTCGATGCGGTGAGGTTGAGCGCGGCGGCTGCGTCGACCTGTATGGTGCGGAAGGAGGTGCTCTTGTCGACGTCGAGCGTCAGCACGCCGTTCTCCTTGCACTGCTTCGAGATGCATCGGGACGAGGTGATCCACAGATCCGACGAGCCCGTGTCGAGCTGGACAAAGACGAGCTGGGGCGGCGACGAGACGTTGAGAGGGATGTCGTATGCGCCGGACAGCAGCCCGAGCGACTGCGTGGTGTCGTTGGCATCCTGGACCGCGCGCCGCCGAAGCGCATGCGATTGAAAGTGCCGCTGCTGTGCTTGTGCGTCGAGAGAGCGCGAGGAGAGGTGAGCTGGCGCACGCAGTTCGATGGCCGACTCGCCCGCCGAGGGAAGCGAGTGAAACCATGGTGGAGGCGCGGCTAGTTGGGCTGTGGAGAGCGAGATGCCTGCGACGAGCAGCAGCACGAGCGCGAGTGTGCATCGCCAGCCCCGCCGCACCGCCGTATTGGAACAGTGCATGCTGAGCGGTCGCACGACGATGGTGATAGCAGACGGAGGAAGAGACGCACCCTGTGTGGCTTCCAACAGGCTTCTCTCCACTTTGGACTCGGCGATTTTCAAGCCAAAAAACCTCCGAGGCTCCCGTCCGACCAGCTATGAGCGCGTTGTGGGTGTTGCTTGTCACAACGAAGGGCCGAGCATTCTCATAACCTTCTCTTCTGAGACTCGCAATCGTGGCTGCAGTCGATCCATAGTATTGCGTTGAAGCAAGATGCTTCCAAAGTCGAGGCAGTAGAAGCATCACACCTCGCAAAAATCAATTCCCGGCTGCAGGTCGCTTCACGATGACATCAGGAGCGGCGTCCAGATTCGGCGTAACACGTTGGGCTCAAATCTCAGCATGTTAGACCACGGTGGTATGGCATCTCTCAGTGCTGCGTCGTGCTGCGTCGTGACGACCATCGTACTGGACTGCGCTAGGCAGAGTCTCGGATGCGATGACCACCTCTGACGCCGTTGACGCTCCCGTTCTGGCTGCCACTGCGGAAGTTGATGGACGAATCGACGTTGCCGCCCAGAATGTTGATGACCGAGCTGCAGCTGTCGCCGTGAATGTTGATGGTCGTATTGAAGCTGCCATGGACGATGAATGTTGCCCTGTGGCTGCCGCCGTTCATGTTGATGGCCGAATTAAAATTGCCGTGGAGGATGATGGTCGACTTATGACTGTCGCCGTAGACATTGATAATCGTGTTGACACTATCGCCGAAGATGCTGATGACCGAGTTGCGGCTGTCGCCGTAGATGTTGACGATCGAGTTACAGCTTCCGCCGTGGACGTTCACGGCCGACTTGCGGCTGTCGCCGAAAAAATTGATAGTCTTCTCAAAGACACCGCCGTGGAAATTCAAGATTGAGCTGCGGCTTTCGCCGTGGACGTTGATGATTTTCTTGTGGCCACCGGTGTGGAGATCGGTGGTCTGGTTGCGCCTGTTGCCGCGAATGTCGATGACCGAGCTGCTGCTGCCGTTGGCCCCATTGTGGACCGAGTCTCTGCTTCCGCTGACCATGTCCACAAGAGGAGTCGTGGAAGGTCCACCTACCAGATTCAGATTCGTCTCGACGCTATTCACTTTGAAGCCTGGTAGCAGGCAAGGAGCGGGGAGAAGACGGAGGTCAAGCAAGCCAGCGGGCTGCCGAGATCGAGGAGTCACAAAGCCAGAGCCGGAGCACCAGCCTCATGTCACGACTTGGTGTCGTACACTATTACTAGATCAGGACTGACGGTTTAATGACGGTTTAACCACGAGGCTTGCCAAGGTGTAGCATCGATGGTGCGGTGGAGAGGATGCGAGAGTAGAGTATGGAGAGTGGGAAGAGGATGAGAGGAAGCCCGGACCGCGCGCCAGCGAGACCGAAAGTACGGAAGTAAGGCGCGTCGCCACGGATGAGCACTTGGCACGAAACGAGTACGCATCCCAGTGGCTGCGGAAGTGTGACGTGCCAGTGTGCTACATCAGTATCAGAGGAGGTGCGGACGGGCAGATGCGTCCCACCAAGTTTCGAGCCTAAATTGAGCTCGATGGCCGAGCCGCGTCTGCCGAAGTGGTCCACTCGTCACAGGCTGATCGGTTGCGAGCCGCTGCCAGATTGAAGCAGCTTGGACCTGACTACCTTGGCTTGGACTTGCGTTGTCGATCTCGTCCATTCTTTTCTCACAGGTGCAACGGGGCACGGGGCAACCAGCGAAGTGTGGAATGTTCACCCTGCCTGATGCCGCGTATGTTCTCAGCCTACGACTCTCGATGTTGTTGGTCAGTCTCGCTCCACGGTCAACCCAGCCGCTCCGACGGTTGCAAGTACGGACCACGACGGTGTCTCTAGCTTGATCGAATACCAAACAAGTGCATCGTTGTCTAGAAGGAGATGCAACAGGGAAAGGGTCCGGGAACCCGGCAGCCGTTGCGATCGCAATGCTTCGGCCATCGATTCTGCACGGTGCAACGCCAAAGTGACAGTATGCCAACCGTCGAAGGCAGCAACTGAGGACGGCGCTCACGGACCGCCATGGCCGAACGAAGGCTGCGGGCCATGTGGGGCTGTAGATGTGCGCTGCGAGGCGCCAACTTCTGGTGGTCATCGCGAAAAACAAAGTGTGCGCGATGCTCAGGGAAGGCGGACCCATGCGACCTTGGATGTACTCTCAAACAGCCATGCGTCACCGCAATGATGAACCATCTCTGCGAGCAGCCGAGTCTGTGGCTCCAACGCCCCAGATGAGCTTCCCAGCGCTGGACAATCTACTGGCGGAAGCTAACTCGAGGTACACGCGGCTGCATCCACGCGCGAGCGTGCCTCCTCATTCTCACGGTCCCTGCCTGACCACGGTTTGGGAGGCCTCGGATCGACTGAGCGCAGGGAGCCACGCGCCTCTGCTGCTTCGACAATACCACACGAGACTTTGAGAGGATGGTGGATCAGGGTCACGTTCAGTCGAGCAGCCAGGGTCTGTCTGTACAAGAAGAGCGGGATATGCTTCTCGGCCTCGTCCAGTCCTCTGACGAAGCATGCGGGCTCACAGGCGTCGTGAGTATCGACGATGTGCCTGCCGACCAAGCTCGAGCATACTGACTTGGATTGCCTTTGCAAACAATAGTTCAGCTTACGATCCCATGGAGCCGATTTCAGCCCGATCGAGGCGTTGCACACCTCTTGCGTCGGCAGCAGCGCGACATTCTGGCTCGGCTCAAAAAGACGTCCCAAAATGATGCCCAGAAAATCAAAAACTTGAAGATGCAATGCGCTCTTTGAGCTGGGCGGCAATGAAGGACAGATGAGCAATCGATAGGCATTGGGGCGAAGCGAGATCGAGACGAGGAAGCGAGCGTTGCTGTGTGCAGATGGATGCGGCGATCAGAGGCGATGCAAGCGATGCGAGCGATGCCAAGACGGCGGGCTGCGGTGGATTTGCTGGCACACGGCGTTCAAGGGGGGAGTTAAGCGAACTGGAGCGAGGCCATGATCTCTCGGATGTGGGATGGTTGACAGCAGCGATGATCGGCAGAGCGCGCGCGACCGCGCGTATGCACGCGTTGGGTTGGTTTGCGAATCGCAATCTCACAATCCAAGCCGTGGCTCGGCGTCCAAAGCTGAACTTGACGGCGAGTGTTGACGCTGGCTTTGCAATTGGAATCCAGAAAGCCTGCTGGAGCGAATCTCCGACTCGGCCCCGGCGGACGGCAGAAGCAGGCCAAAGCGCGCTTTCGGGGTTCGGAGAGGGAGAAAGAGCCAGAGACCAACACCGAGGAGCGAGCCAAATTCAGCTTCCGCTCAAGCGTCGGATGCTTCCGTGCACCTGCGATGCTGAAGCGCACATAGAGTGAAGCGGGAGCGTGCAAGTAAACAATGGCAGCCCCACGCCCCACGTCACTCTGCCACCTCGTCCGGACCACTGCTGCTGCTCAGACTGATGCATGTGTGCAGACCGGCCACACTGGACCCCTCGCCATCTACGATCTGGCTGGCGATTGGTCACGACGAGGGTTATTTTTAGTGCTTGCAGAGCGCGATGCGTGGGGAGGGGCAGGCTGTGCTCGAGACGTGCAGCGCGCAGATGCAGCTGGCGTCAGCACTTGTCTGCCCAAGTCGAGACAGCGAGACAGTGGAAGGAGGCCGGTGACTAAAGAGCCCAGGGCGGGCGGATGGAGCAACGAGCGCATGGTCGGTCGCTCTACAGCTAAAAGGATCGCCATTGCAGCTGGGCATGATCGTTGTGCTCGCAGGGTCGCCAAGGGTTGAAATTGAGCGAGGCGCGTTTGGTGCTTGTGGTGTCTCGAGTAAAGCTCTGTCTCAATTGTCGCTGGCTACAAAAGCTAGCGTGAGGAGACGATGGCAGAGGCAAGGGCAAGGCAGCCGACTCAAAACATGCACGCCTGCGGCCCGCCAATTCGACGTCGGAATGAGACTGTGCTTTTGCAGCCGCGCGGTTTGTAGCACTGCCCTCGCGCCTGCTGCTGTGCCGTGCATGTGATTTTTGCAGTCCGAGCCAAAGCGCAGAAAGCAGGGGAGAAAAAAAAAGAAAAAAGTCGGATTGGATTGGACTTTGGAGAGTGCGCGTGAGCATGCGTGTGCGCGTGTGCTGGCTGCTGGCAGGGCAGGGCAGAGTGTGCGTTGCTGTTGTCTCCTCGTTGGCTGCTGGCCCCCTTCTGTCTGTCTGCATGGCTCCGCGCCGAAATCGCAAAAGCAAAGGCGATCTTCCTTTCTCAGCGAGCGCGCCTGAAACACACTTCTCTCTCTCGGCACTCGCAGGGGAGCCATCTGGCAGCCCCAGTCGCAGCGAATCCAAGCTCAAACCAACTCTGCTCTGCTCCGCTCCGCACCGCCTCCGTCCACCTTTGCTTGCTCGCCATCTTCGCTTGCTTCGTTCCGGCTCCATCATCGCAACCACCAGCGCGCGTGATCGCAACCGCCAACGCACGCTTCTCTTCTCTTCGCTTCTTCCATCTCGGTCTCGGTCTCGGTCTCGCTCTCGCTTTCGCATCGCGCGCTGGTTCGCTCCACCTCGCCATCCTCATCCACTTGGAAGCCTCTCGATTCATCGTCTGCTCCGCCTCCAGCCGGATTCGCAGCTTCATTCCGTCCAATCGGTCTCCCAACGAACCCACCCACGTCGTCGCAACTCCTTCTCGCTCAAGCTTCATCCTCGCCACGGCCTCCCCGCACTCCTAATCCGTAAGTCTTGCCGCGGCGCTTTCATTTCAAGCTCATGCTTTTGCGCATGCACATCTGCTCACACCCCCTTACCCTCGCATCTTCTTGCATGCCTCCATCCCAATCGCATCGCCATCGCGCTTCCACCCACCCATCGACGCTCATTCGCCCACTCGCATCGATCATCCAACACCCACCATGCCGCCACGCCATCACATCTACCACCCCGACGCTTCCGCTCGTCACTCACAACCAACTCCATCTTCGATCCCACAGTACCAACCGCAATCTCGCCCAGCCACCTTTCATTCAGTTCGAGCACCTCTGCCTCTGCACCTCCATCCTAACCACTCGTCTTGGGCGCCATCTACCCACCCGTTCCAATCTAGGCCTCCGCCAGCAACTCGCATTCGTGTCGGCTGCCTCGTCCCCTCCCCCCTTTCCAACCAGTGCATCTTTACTCCTCCGCAATCACAAGACGAGCTCCACCGCACCGACGACATCTACCTCCCACGCCCCATCTCGGCTCACTCGAGGCAATCCACCATGTCCGCAGCAACTGCCTCCACGGTGGACCTGCTGCCACGCATGGGGCAATCCTCCGGCATGCACAGCCCCTTCTCCATACCACATCCGCTATTCAACAGCGACGCAGGCCCTTCCTCCTTTCCCTCATCCAGACCACCCGCGCCCTCATCCATCGACACCAGCGCTCGCAAGAACGCCGACCTGCTCGATGCCCTCGCTGGTCCATCTGGCGCGTTGAAACTCTCCTCGCCCTCGTCCGCAGCAGCTCCGCCTTCCAGCCTCGAACTTAGCCAGAACGCAGGCTCCAGCTTATCCGCGGGCGGTGCCTTTGGCGCATCAGGCTCCTACTCCTCCTCCAACGGCGGCGCATCCGGCGGCTTGGGCAGCACCAACATCCGATCAGGTGGCGGCGGCGGCGGCGCTGGCGGCCGAGACGATCTCCACCGCAACGGCGCTCCCGGCGACGGCAGCGGCTCCGGAGGTAACGGCGGTGACGACTCCCACGACGACAAGGACGACAAGGAAAAGGCAAAGAAATCAAACCCGCTCGTCGATCTCCTCGACACAGAGGCCGCCTACGTCTCCGAACTCTCCAAGATAATCAAAAAGGTCGCCGCCGCCTGGTCCCGCTCCAACTTCCCGCCGCCCGAGCTCGATGCCATGTTCCGCAATACCGAGGCAATCTATCGCGCAAATCGCAGCTTCCTCAAGGCGCTCAAGGAGATCGGTCCCAACCCCTCGTCGCCAAAGGCGCTCGGCGACCTGCTCATGAAGTGGATCGACGATCTCGAGGCACCCTACTCGCGCTTCTGCGAGAGCTACCTCTGCGACTTTGACGCATGGTCCGCCGTCCAGTCCAACCCGCGCCTCGCAAACCTCCTCCTCGACGTCTCGGGCGCTACCGATGCCGACGGCAATCCGGTCACTTTCAGCGATCGCAAGCGCGACCCCAACGAGCCCTGGACCCTCGACGGCCTCTTTGCCCTCCCGCACATCCGTCTCAAGTACTACAAGAAGCTCTACTCGCGCCTCCTCAAAAGCACGCAACCCGGACGCAGCGACCATCGCCTGCTCGTCGGCGCAAACGAAAAGCTCGACGAGCTCGTAGACAAGTCCAAACGCAGACTCGCCGCCTCGGTCCTGGACGAGGTCGCCGGCCGCGAGTCGCGCGACAGCTCCTTTGCAGAGAGCAACGTCAACAGCGAATCGTCGCAACGTGAACGCGTCTCTTCCGCCACCTCGCAGTCCGACTCGCAATCGCCCAACTCGCGTCCAGTCCAGACGCTCGGCAACAAGACTTCTCCGACGCGAGGCCCCTCGACAGGAACCGCCAACGCTGCCTCCACCGCATCTTCTGCCGCAACATCATCGCTGCTGCCCGCCGCCGGACGCGCTCCGACTCCTGGAGGCATGCCCCTCTTTGGAGCACCCACGAGCCAGCTCAACGGCCTGAGCTTGGACCACCCCAGCATCTCGGCTCCCAGGCCCGAGCTCGTCCGCGGCAACTCGGAGGTCGCCAGCGTCCACGAGAGCGGCTCGCAGACCGCAGGCGAAGACTCGGCATCCACGCGCACCAACTCGCTCTCCCAGCCCATCGAGAGCCTCGAAAAGCGCCTCGACACGTCCAAGACGCTCGACATCTTCACCATGAAGCCCAAAAAGTGCCAGCTCCAGATGCATCCGCCCAACCTGCCGTTTGCACGCGCGCTGCGCAAGTCGGCCGACGTCGTCATCCACTTCACCCCGAGCAGCGGCGGACCCGAGATCAGCATCCGACGCGCACACATGTTCCTGCTCACCGACCTCTTCCTCGTGTGCGAGCGCATGACGCCCAGCGAAAAGGCCGAGCTCTCCAAGGGCGGCGTGGGTCCGGACATGTGGCTGCTCTATCCACCGCTGGCAGGCAAGCACCTGCGCGTCGCCGATCTCGGCGGCCAGGGCAACACGCTCTCCATCACCATCCTCAAAAAGGAGACGCTCACCGTCCACACCGACTCGCGCGAGGCCAAGGACGAGTGGCTCGAGCACTTTGCCGACTGCCAAAAGTTTGCCGCCAACCTCGGCCTCAAGGTCAAGACGGGCAGCAGCACGCTCTCGGCGCCGTCGGCTGCAAGCAGCGTGTCGGCCGCCTCGCTCGGCTCCGCGCAGCCGAGTCTCACCACGCCGGCGCTCTCGCCCGCCATCTCGGTCACGCCTTCTTCGACGCACGGCCACGACGACGTTGCCGAATCGATGCCGTCGACATTTGGCAACGATGGCCCCAACAGCTCGCCCGTCATCGGCTCGGATCTCTCGAGGCAGGCTTCGTTCAACTCGGTAGCGTCGTTCCCCAAGGCGGCGGCGCTTGGCTCGCCCGATCTGGGCAACTTTGCGCCCGGCAGCAGCTCTGCCTTTTCGCCACGATCGCCGTCGCCCTCCAACTTTGGCCCTGGTGGCGCACCGCCCAACGGTCCGCACGGCTTTGGTGGAGCGCGACCACCCATGCAGATGCGTCCGGGCATGATGTCGCCGTCCAACGGTGCGCTTTCGCCCGACACGAGCCCGGCCGCCGGCCCCGTGCGCTACGGTCCCGGCGGATTTGGGCCCAACGGCCCGATGGCCATGGGTCGACCTCCGCTCATGCAGGATCCCAACATGCCTCCCCGCTCGCCTGGCGGTATGCGGGGACCGCCCGGGCCGCCCGGTGGACCGCCGGGCGCTGGAGGTGCCATGTTCCCACGCGGTGGGCCAAGTCCCGTGCCTGGTCAGATGCCGGGAGGTCCGGGCTCGAGTCCCGGATTTGGACCCATGCACATGCGTCCTGGCATGGCACCGCATGGACCGCCGGGCATGGGACCAGGTGGACCGGGTGGACCGGGGCCGGCGTTCATGAACGGCGCACCGCGACCGCCGATGCCGCGACCGCCTCCGGGGGCGCAGCCGTGGGCGAATGGCCCGCCGCCGCCGCCGCCGAATGGCTTGGGTGGCCGCGAGCCGTACAGGCGGCCGTCGGCGCCGAATCTGCGCCAGGCGTCACACGGCTCGTCGGGTGGCGGCAGGACGTCGGACGAGGGCGAAGGTGGGCGGTCGTTTATCCGCACGCGCTCGGTGTCGAGCACAGGATCGACGGCGCCCAAGCTGCCGTCGGCCATGATGAAGGAGGGCCGCGACCGGAGCGAGCGCGGCACGGACGTGTCGCCGCCGAGCAGTCCCGTAGCCAAGAAGCAGGGCCCGTTCCGGAGCACGGTATCGGCGCAGATGCGATGCAAGCTGTTCCTCAAGCAGGGACATGCGCAGTGGAAGTCGCTCGGCAATGCGCGGCTCAAGCTGTTCCACATCCTGCCGGACGACATCAAGCAGCTGGTGGTGGAGAACGAGCGCAAGACGCTGATCTCGACCATTGTGCTCACCGACGGCGTCGAGAGGGTGGGCAAGGTGGGCGTCGCCGTGGAGCTGAGCGACCGCGGCAACCGGACGGGCATCATCTATATGCTCCAGATGCGATCCGAGGAGTCGGCGAGCGGCCTGTTTGGGCAGCTGCTCGAGGGTAGCGACAGGACGGCCGCAGCCACGTCGATGGCCGGCAGCTTTGCCTGAGCGTGCGAGGTGCCGCCAGATTTTGCGTTCACTCTGCTCAACATCGTAACTACCAATAGAAACACTTTTGCACTTGTATACGTGCGAATGGGATGGGAGAAGCAGGCCTTTTGAGCAGACGCGAGTTGTGGATATTGTACAGAGTGAGAATGTAGAGTCGTGCGGCTATTCGTCGTCGTCTTGTTGGTCCATGTGGTCTTGGTCGTCGTCGTGACCATCTTGGTCCTCGGCGTCGTCTTGGTTGTCGTCATGATCATCTTGTGGCTCGGCTTCTGGTTCTGGTTCTTGTTCTGTTTCTGGGTCGTCTTCGTCCTGGAGGGTGCCTTCTAGGATCATGTTTTCCTCGGTTTGCTTTTGGGCGAGTTTGGTCTGGCGAGCTTCGAGGGCGGAGGAGAGGGGCATGGCGGTTGGGATGGCATCGCGCAAGAACTCGAGCGATTCGGTTTGCTGGACGGCGCGAGAAAGGTCCTTGTAGAAGACGTGCTTGCGCTTGTCGAGCTTGGCGTTTGTGTAGGCCTCGTCGGTGAGTCTGCGGATGAAGATCTCGGTGGCAATGCTGATGAGGAACGTCGCCTCCTTCGAGCAGATGTCCACGTCGCGGTCCGCTTTGATGATGCGCTGAACACGCGCCACTGGGAAGACGGACACGCCCTTGTGCGTAGTGGTGGCCGAAGGAGCGGAGTCCTCCTCCACCAATTGCGGAGATGACGGCGCCGACATTGGGCTGACTGGGTTGTCGACCGAGCGAGAGGGATAAGTAGAGATGTGATGGTGGACTCGAAGCAAGGCTGGATTCGTTGCGCCTCTTTACGCGACGCGTGCCGTCACAGCAAAAACGCTCAGTCCAAGACGGAAAAGCTGACGCGCAGAGAGCAACACTCCACCCGCCCATCATTTCAACTCGACTCAACTCGACTCGACTCGACTCGACTCAACTGCGCCCAAAAGTGTCACTTTGGCATTTCACTTGATCACCTTCTCTTGGCTTTGGTTTTGGCTCAGCCCTAGTCTGCCGCTTTGGGACATCGGCGTGGCCGACAAATGTGTCAGAATGCTCATCATCCTTATCATCAAGCGCTGAGCTGCTGACCACTCCTCGACTCATCCGGATCCGCCTCCGCCTCCGCCTCCGCCCTCCATCGTCTTGGGGCTCTGTAACAATGGCCGACGATCGCGAACGAGACCTGACGCCCGAGGCCGAGGCGGCGCGCTATAAGCCCATCCGCCGTCTCGACGAGAACGTCGTCAATCGCATTGCAGCCGGCGAGATCATCCACCGCCCCGCCAATGCGCTCAAGGAGCTCATTGAAAACTCGCTCGATGCTGGCGCAACTTTGATCCGCATCACCCTCAAGGAAGGCGGCATCAAGATGCTCCAGATCCAGGACAATGGCTGTGGTGTTCAGCCGTCCGACTTGCCTCTCCTCTGCGAGCGCTTCGCCACCTCCAAGCTGCGCGACTTTGCTGACCTCGACAGCATGGCCACCTTTGGCTTTAGAGGAGAGGCGCTCGCCAGCATCAGCTACGTCTCGGCTTCCATGAACGTCGTCACAAAGACTCGCGACAACGAGTGTGCCTACCGCGCCTACTACGCCAATGGCGCTCTCGCCCCGCCCAAGCCCGGTCAGAGCAGCGAGCCGAGGCAGTGCGCAGGCACAGACGGCACCCTCATCACCGCCGAGGATCTCTTCTACAACGTCCCACAGCGCAGAAGGGCCCTACGCAGCCCCGCAGACGAGTATAACCGTGCCCTGGACGTCGTCTCCAAGTACGCCGTGCACTACGGCGGCAGAGGCGTCGGCTTTGTGTGCCGCAAGGCAGCCACCAATGCCACGGACCTCAACACTCCATCATCGCCCACCAACACAACGCTCGACACCATCCGCATCCTCCACGGCAATGCCGTCGCGCGCGAGCTCGTCGAGCTCACAGATGTGCACGACACAGCTCTTGGCTTCCAGTGCAACGGCTGGATCAGCGGCGCCAACTGGAGCAGCAAGCGCACCACGCTGCTGTGCTTTATCAACAATCGCCTCGTCGACTGTCCTCTGCTCAAGCGCTCCGTCGAGGCGCTCTACGCAACCCTCCTCCCCAAAGGCGGCCATCCGTGGATCTACCTGTCCCTCTCCATCAACCCCGCCAACGTCGACGTCAACGTGCACCCCACCAAGAAGGAGGTGCATTTCCTCAACGAAGACGAGATCGTCGAGCACGTCTGTCGCGCTGCTCAGGACAAGCTCGCGGGTGCCAATTCGAGCAGGACGTTCGCGTTTTCGCAGGCTGTGCTGCCTGTCCTTGCTGCCGATGTCGCTGCTCGAAGCGCACCCGCACCCGCACCCGCATCCGCGCCTGCGCAAACAGACGAAGGCGATGCGCACCCCACCATTGATGCGGCGCGAGAAGCGACGCGCAGCCGTGACGGCGAAATCACGACCACAAGTTCGTCAGCCTCAGCGGCTCGAAGAACAACAGGAGGTCCCATATCATCATCGAAAGGCTACCCACAGCACCTCGTACGCGTCGATGCCAAGACTCGAACGCTCGATTCCATGTTCTCGGCTTCAACGCCCGCAGTGGGCAAGAAGCGCCTGCTAGATTCAGATGCACTCCAAGGTCTCGGTTCCGACTTGCCGACCGAGGCGTCGGACGAGCAAGCCAATGCCGCTGCCTCCAATGCTGACCGCAGCAGCCACAGCGCTCCTGCGATCAAACGCGCGCGCCAGGGCCTCGGCGTGCGCATTGCCGACTCGGACTGCTCGCTCACATCGGTGCGCCAGCTGCGCGCCCACGTTGGCAAGGCGCAACATCGCAACCTCACCGAGGTGGTGCAGAACCACACCTTTGTCGGCGTCGTCGATTTGCACAAGGGCATCAGCCTCATCCAGCACGAGACGCGTCTGCTGCTCGTCAACCACGACGCCATGATCCGCGAGTTTGCCTACCAGCTCGTGCTGCGCCAGTTTGGCAGCTTCGCCACCATCAAGCTGGACCCGCCGCTCCCGCTTGACGAGCTCGTCGACATTGCGCTCGACAACATCGCCGGCGTACCCGAGGACTCGACTGCGAGCACCGAGGCGGCGCGCGACAAGATCGTCGGCGTGCTCCTCGACCACGCCGAGATGCTGCACGAGTACTTTTCGTTGATCGTAGACGCGGACGCGCGCACGCTCAACGCGCTGCCGAGCCTGCTGCCCGGTGCGAGCATGGCGGGCGTACAGGGGGCGTGTGCGATCGAGCTCGAGCGCGTGCCACAGCTGCTCGTCCGCCTCGCCACCCGCGTCGACTGGCAGGACGAGCAGGCGTGCTTCGACACGTTTGCGCGCCAGATCGCATGGAGCTGCGTGCCATGTCCTCCGCCGCCTCCCCCAACGCCGACGCAAGCGAGGGCAGGGAAGGCAGAGGACGCAGTACAGGCACGGCACGCGCACGACGAGCGCGAGCGCGAGATCGAACAGGCGCGCCGCAGAGTGCAGCACCTCTGGTTCGACAGCATGCCCAAGTCGCGCGCGCGCTACGTGCCCAGCCGCGCCACCAACGACGTCGTCGTGCAAGTGGCCAACCTTCCGGACCTGTACCGCGTGTTTGAGCGCTGCTGAGGTCGCTGGACCATGACGACGCGTGCGTGTACAGCAACACTTGCGTGGACCTCTTAATCTTATTGCTGCGTTTGCGATCGATCGAGTGGGGCCAGTGCGAAAGTCACAGGTCGGTGCAAGTGTGTGATGTTTGTGCGATGCAATGTGCCGCTTGCGGTCACGAAGCCGATCGTTGTGCTTTGTGAGGGAATGATCGCGAAATCATGACGGGCGCGCTGCGGGCAGATGCACTGCAACGGCGCTAAGCGTGTTTGGGCGGTGCTACGGAGCAAGACCCAACGTCAGGACCGTCGCAGCCTTGAGTCATCGAATGCATTGGCTGGTGCGTTCGAGATCGATGACGTCGTTGGCATCCGTCCGCACATACCGCGTTTCACTGCCTGCTGGCTGGCGGTTGCCTCCCTCCAATGCTCGAGCCCTGTTCCAAGGGCATGTGCAGCACCGCTAGTGCGGGAAAACAAATACGGGCATCACCATTTGCACAGATCGCTTCATGAGAGAGAGAGAGAGAGAGA